CCCCAAAACCCCAAAACCCCGCAACAATAGAATTTATAAGCAATTTATAATTGGTAATTAACTAATAAAGTGCTGCATTAATCTTCATTTATTATTGTATTCAATCAGTGAAGTTGTTCATATTGTTATTGTTCATTTAGACAGAGTAGTTAGTTTAGTGATTAGTGGATACTCCCATAGCAGATTTGTTGTATTGAGAATAGCTACCAAGACTTTGCTTTTTATTGTGAACTGCCTACCCTCTGTCATCACCAAATGGATTCACTCCAAACAGGTCAGTTGGCATCATATTGCTGTGATTTGGAGTTTGGCTTTATGATCCAGACACTCTGCCATTATTTGAGTATCTTCCAGATTTTCTGTCGAATTCTTATCCACTTGAAGCGAATATCATCTCTTTAAGCATTTGATCTTGATTCCTATCCCCTCCTTTGCCCAGACTAAGGTTATTCTTGGCTTTGACTTCTTCCAAGTTCTTTAACTCTCCATCTCCCTTTGTTGAAGGAGCGGCTTCTGATCTGTCAGCATTAGCACCTATCATAAGTGGGTGATTGTATTCTTGTCTCCACTTCATTAGAGGTACATAGAGCATTGAATTTTCTCCGTCAACTGACCCTCCAATTTCTTCTTCTAGAGGTGTGGGCTCTTATGTGTCATTAAAAATTGATTGGTCCTGCTTGGCAATATCGAAGAGGCTTTTATTGGTGAGGAAGACTACTATTGAGCTGATAGCGAAGATCAAAGCCATGAAACATGCACATGATAAAAAGTCCTTCTGATACAAGAAAGACATCAAGCAAAGTTAAAGTAGCAATATAGCAAACTGAATATGTAGAAGAATCTTTTGGAACACCTTGCAAGATGAGTCAATTTCTTTTCTATTCAAAGTAAGCAGGTTATAGCTGTCAATGATATGTCTCATTCCAAAGAATAATATTCCGCCGACCGCAGTCATTGGAACAGTGCTGGCAAATACTAGAATTATAGCAAATATGACTAAGTGTTGAGCGTAGTAGAATCCATACTGGAAGACCATAAACTCTCTTCTTCTCCACACCTAGGCATCATTAATGTACTTTCTTCTGTAGTGACTAAGCCAGGGAGAAAAGAAGGCTGAGCCAATATCACCAGATCTGACTAAGTTAGTGCAAAGAGATAGACAAGCATTCTAGATCAGCATTGAAACGAAGAAGACTCCAGAGTCTGTTGAGTAGAACTGCGATAGAACAGCAATAAGGTTGTAGTTGTTTGCTTTAACCACTTAGAGCATGGAGGATTGACTGGTGATAGTCACAGCTGGAATGATAAGCATGTTTAAAGCAAGATAAATATAGGCTTTGTTGAAGATTGAGTATTGATACTTTGAGTGAGTCACTCTCTTCTCCCAGTAAGCTGAGTAGTAGATCATATAAAGCAAAATGTTGTTGATAAATATAATGACAAGTGGAGGAAAGAAGGTAGTTAGGAAGCTGCCCCATAGTGAGTCATTCTGAACTTTAGTGGTAATATCCAAGAAACTGAAGAACTAGATCATCTTGAGAGTTGAGTAAATAGCAGCTGGAGTAGATAGGAAAAACACAATTGACAGTCCAATAATGTTGAAGAATACCTTTCTGAAGAAGTAGACACCTCTGGTGCCACCCATGTTTCCCCAAATGATATCAATTGGATCTCCAGCTTCACTCATAATAAGAGTGAGATCCTTGTCTCTATATCCCTAAGCTATTTCTAGATCCTCATCTTCAAACTAATTGAACGTCTGTCTGTCCTAGCTCATGGTTCTCTTGAACTTCTGACTGAAGAACTACTGGATGTTTTCTTTGACTGACACCTTAGCAAGCCTCCAGGCATAGGTGGGAGTCATGTTAGATTGCTGTACACAGTGGTTAAGACTCTTCACGCTGTCGAGGACAACGAAGGCATGACCTGATGAAAGGAAAGGCTTCTCAATTTCGTTTTGAATATCCTGATCCAACTGAACCTGTCTCTCCTAAACTGAGCTGCTCTGAGTCCACAGGCATTTGAAGATGGCTTAGCGACCGCAACCTGGACTGCCGTGAGCAGCTACAAGGTGATGCAAGTCATCTAGATCCTTCTTTTCAATTTCCAGGTCAAAGAGTCGTTAGAAATCGGGAATAACTACCACATCTAGGACCTTGCCTTGGATTGGTTCTAACATCAAGTTTAACTCGTTTTTCAACATATCTCCTCTTCTGTCCTTGGGGAGAAGTCCTCTAACATGGAGAGTTCTTGCTTTGAGCCACTCGTAATCCTTAACCTTGCACTTTTCTTTTTGATTTTCTCTGTATAAATCTCTGGCTTCTTCTCTTAAATCAAATACTGTGTAGAAAGTAAGCAGACTGAAAAGCAGAGCGAGTCCGCAATGAACCCAGGCAGTTATTGGTGAGATTTGTTTATTGTTAAGACTAGATCGCTCGAACCACTCCTGCTGATCAGTGGAGGCAAATAAGTTGATTGAAAGACTAACGACCATAGACGATATGGCGAGAATAATGGCTAGTCTGATCAATTTGCGCTGAAACAATAAATATAGATAGGCGTCTTAGCCACACTGAGCAGACCAGTAGCCTCTGTCGAACTTTGACAGCATTTTCTTAAAGAACTCGTATAGAATAGATGGACTGCGAGTGGTGTAAAATAGTTACCTTTTGTCCAAGCCTGCCACGTTCTTCTCTATAGGTATCTCAACTATACTTTTAATTAGCACTCTTAAGATTAGGAGTATGTTTGAAATGAAAATATTTACCTCCGAGTCCTTTAATCCATAAATGGTACCAGGCCACTACAGCCACCAGTACGTAAATAAAATTCAGGATAATAATATACCCTAAAGTCCAAAGATAGTTGTACATGTTTCCTTGTTTAGTTTCGGGAGTATGTTAGTTTTATATGATTTGAATTTTTATTTCCTCTTTTATTATTTTCTTATTTCTTCTTAATTAATACTTTGCGGGGTTTTGGGGTTTTGGGGTTTTGGGG